ACGTTCATAATATCGAAATTCACTTTATCGAATTCAAAATATCGAACACTTTTTATCGAAAATCAAAATATCGAAAATACAAAATGTCGAAATATTTTCTTATTTTGAATTTGATATTTTGTTTAAATATTTCAATTAATCGACATATTATTTTAATCCGAAGTGTATATGTACAGAGGCGCCTCTGATATAGAAATGTACTCAAACTCAACAACACAACCCAACCGACCCCGCCCCATTGGGCCTCTATTTTACAACTTTGGAAAAACAAACGTTTTTGCACAAAATATGATATTCAGGGGTTTTCAGGACGGGAAAATTAAATTTCTTATAAAAAAATAATGTAGGTTGTAGAGGGTGCTGTCTGCGACACTTTGCATACGTTTAAAATTTAAATGGTCTTTTTTGCGTCTTATTGTGTACACGTTTTAATAAAAATATTACTTTTTTATAATAATTTTTCCGGCCTGAAAAAATATCAAAAACGTTTGTTTTTTTATTTAATAAAATCGAAAACGAACTTTTATCAAAGAATTTTGGTTATTAAAATTTAGTTATACCGCATTATTTCGGTCTCAGAAATATGTGGTATAATTTTGCATTCCAGGGACACCTTGTATAATTAGTAATTTCTGAGACCGAAATAATGCGGTATAACTAAATTTTAATAACCAAAATTCAAGGTATCAAAGTTAAAAGTGACCAACTAATTTTGTTTTAATTTTAAGGGTTTTTATATAATTTTACTAGGGTCTAATTCACACCGTTTGTAATTATTAATTACAAACGGTGTGAATTAGACCCTAGTAAAATTATATAAAAACCCTTAAAATTAAAACAAAATTAGTTGGTCACTTTTGGAACCAACCCATCGAGTGGATGTCTGTAAAGTTTTAGCCTAACAAACTTAAAATCGATCCAGCAAACAAGGTTTTGTTTTATTTTGGCCGTGTCATATGTTGGTAATTATTAAAGAGCTTTTACGTGTTTTGAATAATTAATCATTTCCTCTATTTCCAACTTGAATTAGAAATCAATTGGATGCAAACGAAAGCTATTTTGGTTTCCTGCTCATCAATTTATCTCTCAGATTGCTTGCAGCAATTTTCAATCTAACTAAATGCTGTTGTCTCATTAAATATAAAGATACAATTGCTCATTTCCATGAGGCGCCACATGTTTCATAATTATTTCGTTAGTGTTCATGATGATATATATATTTTTTCAAATCGTATTAACTTATATTAAACTTATATTTTTAAATATATGTGCAAAATTGTAGTAATTTTTACCTATCTGTATATTGTTTTTCCTGCAATAGCTATTTGTGTATTAAGAGCGCAAAGTGATACATTGTCGCTCTGAGCGAGAAGCTTGATGCGCGATGCGTACTGGAGCGCGGCTATCTCGCTAGAGCGGCAATGTCACTTTGCGCTCGAATTACACACAGGATTTTTTCTACAGCCTATAAGAATGTTTGGTAAAAATCACAGACCACCAAAACAAATGGACCGCGCATTGCCATTCAATAACAATGCTTTGTTTGCGGTCAACAAACGGTCACAGTCTAAGCGTCAAATTGGAGATAGAATTTTATGTTTTCTTCCAGTGACGTCAACAAACGGTCACAGTCTAAGCGTTAAATTGGCGATAAAATTTTATGTTTTCTTCCAGTGACGTATTGGGATTAAAAAAATAATAAGTAGGTAGGTACTTACAAACGATATTTCCATGTATTGTTATTTTTAGTAAAAAATAATGTATTTAACACTTTAACTGCCACGCTGATTTGGAAAAAAAAATGTACCGGGTCCCGTGGGCCAAGTATTTTTTTAGCCTCAAGCTCTTTATTTGTGTTTGTTTTAAGTAAAAGTCGTAAAAGAAAATGTGTTTTTTTTTTATTATAGTATAGTGCCACGCCAGACCCATCGATATTCCCATTTAAATACATGGCAGAGAATTAAAATCTCCTGTGTCCATTTATGGTACATACGGCAGTTAAAGTGTTAAACTCCATAATTAACTTAAACACGATAGAAATACACAAACGAAAACACAAAACAACAAGCTGTCAACCCACAGAACATAACCTTTTATGCTGTCAAATATGACGAATTTACCAACGTTGTTAATATTTAATTTTAATAATTATTAAATGATTTACTTTCTTTAAATAGAGAAAAATATCTAAAGAAAATGATGAACAAATCCTTTTTACATTTTTTTTATTATTCAAACGAATTACTGGTAATTATTAATATTTATTATGAACGTCCAAAAAGGCGTGTAATCTATACTTCTGACAACGTTGGAAGCCGTGTTTCTTTCGATGGTGTTTAGAATGTGAAACTATCCTTTACTCGCTTTTTAAACGTAAACAAATCCGTCCATTTGTTTTGGTGGTCTGTGGTAAAAATTAATAATTATTGATAACCTCAAATTTGTCTTTTGTGTCAAAAGTCGCAAATACATTAAACGTTTCTTTATTATGGTTTCCATGGTAACTAAGCGAGTAAAAAACGCTCGATTCTCGGAAAAGTGCAACTTTGCGCTTTCCTTTGGAAACGCAAATTTGTACTTTTCGCTTGGTTGTAGAAAAAACATTTTATATATCGTAGGAAATAATTATGGAACGTGGCGCCTTTAGTCTACCAAGTCTAATTTTAAAGATAGGCTTTATGATTGATTTTAGCCGTATATAATAATTTCTTAATTAGGTATTTAATAAATGTTTCGACTTGAGAATCTAATTATAAAATTATGGAGCCTATATTATGCGTCAGGGGCAGACAGAGGAGATTTCTCGTGCGGCGAAACGCGATTCAAATCTCCTCTGATGCCCAATAGTTGCACACACTACTTATTTCATTCAACTAGGTACCGTAAGGAATTTAAAGCCAATTTAATTTGATATTAATATAATAATTATATTATTAATTTAATTATTATATTTTATAAAGTACACTCACAGGCAAAATAATCGATCAACACAAATTTTCGATGAATTTCAATCGCAAATAACTTTTTTATTTGATGTCGGATTTAAACGAATATTAAAGACTATTGTAGATAAATTAATGGACAACCGCTCACATTTTAAAAAATTACTAAAAAATAGACGTACGTTTATAATATACAGGTTTAAACAAAAAGATGTTTTTACCATAAGTTTAAGACACTCTGTAGAGTGGCCAAACCGTATATTGTTCTAAATTAAGTTTTATTTATCAAGTCACATCTATTCTTAACAGTTTTGTTTTTGGTTCACCTCAATTTATTTATTTTTTTGGAAAATATGGATTTAAAAAAAAACATTGTAATATCCAATATTTTTCTGTATGAAGAACTAAGGTTGCTATGGTCCATCCATAGGCTATGGATAATGACAGTGACAGTTTTGTTTAATCATCCCATACGTGGACATGTCATACACGGCTTTCAAAAGCTATCAAATTGTTTTTTTGCAAATTAATGTTTAAATTTTGAGGTGTCTTCTTACTTTAAAAAATGGATATGTCTCCGACTGATTGCCAGAGCCATTAATTTAATCCAGGATGGATGGTCACAGTATTACGTGGCAAGTGTTTTAAACGTCACAAGAAGTAAAGTACAAAGGGCAACATCAGTTGGAGACATGTTTAAAAGTAAGAAGACACCTCAAAATTAACACATTAATTTACAAAAAACAATTTGATAGCTTTTGAAAGCTGTATATGTCATGTCTAAGTATGGTATGATTCAACAAAACTGTCACTGTCATCCTGCATAGGCTATGGATGGACCATAGCAACCTTAGTACTTCATACAGGAAAAATATTGGAAATTGCAATGTTTTTTTTTAATCCATATTTTCCACAAAAATAAATATATCAAGGTGAACCAAAAACAAAACTGTTAAAAATAGATGTGACTTGATAATTAAAATTTAATTTAGAACAATATGCGGCTTTGCCACTCTACGGACTGTCTTAAACTTATGGTAAAAAACATCTTTTTGTTTAAACCTGTATATTATAAACGTACGTGTATTTTTTAGTAATCTTTAATATTTGTTTAAATCCGAAATCAAATAAAAAAGTTATTTGCGATTGAAATTTATCGAAAATTTGTGAGGATCGATTATTTTGCCTGTGAGTGTAGTAAAAATATACTTACAAAAATGTATTTTGAATTATAAAACTGATTTTATAATATAATTTGTCAAAATTTTAACTTTTACCGCCCTCAGTGGTGTAGTAGTTAGCGCTGCGGACTACAAGCCGAGAGGTCGTGGGTTCGAATCCCACCAGGGGTATGGCTGTTTATTTGTGTTTGTCATTGTGTACTTCTGTAATTGGGCCAGGTGCCTGTTGAAAGCACATTAAAATAATAAAAATAATAATAATAATAATAACTTTTGGACATGTACTGTTCCTAATCTCACCCATTCAATTATAACTAAAAATTTTGCCAAATAGAAAAAAAAATTAAGAACTCATTTCATAAGAAAATTCTCGCACTCGTCCAATACAAAACTCGGTCCTTTGTGGCTCGTTTTGTAAAATGTCTTATGACATTAGTTCTTTAATATACTATTATCTGACGTCTGTCAAACTTCACTTTTTTCCAATTTTAACGTAAAGCTAACTTCAGCCTGTGGGCGAAATAACATTTCGACAAAAGGTTGATATTAATAAATGAAAATTTAGGGAGTTCATTATTTTGCCCGTTCTCAGCCGGTCCACAAAGTTACATATTCCTTGCGGGCGTTAAATAAATTATTAAAATTACACAGTGTGATCCTTTTTACCAAATTTCTTAATATTTTTGATGCGCTGAACATCAGAATTGCTCCACCTCGTCAGGTTTTTAAGAAATTCTAACGCTTCTAGGTTTTCATACATTATAACTCATTAACAATACAGGTTTAATATCTTTAAACAACTGCTTATTGAAGAAAAATTGATTATACTACATTTAAGAAAAACATTACATAACAAATATATTTGTATAATTTTTAGACCTTAAAAGAAACCCTGTCCCAAGGCGTCGCCTACATGCATGAAGGGCTTTCCGCAAGCGATCTCCGATTGGTCGAACAATTGTTCGATTCAGACGCTGTTCAGATAGCGGTCATCACTAGAGACCTCTGCTGGGCGGTGAACATATTCGCTCATTTGGTTATCATTATGGATACGCAGTTCTACAACGGAAAACTTCACGCCTACGAAGATTATCCCATTACAGATGTCCAGCAGATGGTGGGTAGGGCTAATAGGCCGCTGGAAGACAACGATGCTAAATGTGTTTTGATGTGTCAAACTTCAAAGAAAGATTTCTTCAAGAAGTTCCTTAATGATCCTTTACCAGTTGAAGTAAGTACTATTGATGTACTAGTTTTCTTATATTTTGAATTCTAAAATGTGTAAATTTCTTTTAATTTCGTAGTTCCCTTTTGAAAAAAACTTATCGACAAATGATCGAGTTTTGAAACTCGATTCTCTGATCATTTTTCGATGCGCTTTTTGTCACTTGTTACAGTCATCAAAGAATCGAGATTTCAAATCGATCCTTTTTAATTATGAAAACAAGATCCTTTTGTATCGCGAAAACAAGAGACAAATATGATCACAAATAATCATTTTTAATAATTTGAAGTCTCATTTTTAACATATGTCATATTTGACTATTTGACATTTTATATGTATGGGTGATTCTCCAGAACGGAGCAAATATGCTGAAACTCTTAAATAAAATATACTAATGAAAGTAGTTAGCATTTAAATAACACTACAATAGACAGTTTATGTCTAGCAGTAGAACGTACTTAACCAAAAAAATAAAACATTATTTATTTTATTAATTTGAATTTGCTTAAAAGCTTTAAAGTCAACTCCATGGACTGTCACCACCTAGCGTAGGGACAACAAATCATCCATATACTATTAGACTAGATGCAATTGTGAAATGATTCTTTCATATTGCATTTCCTCTAACTTGGAATGTATAAAAAAACAACCAAAAGCAAACTTATTGGATATTTTAACCCAAAATGTCGAATAAAGCATGAGACACCATTTTACAGCTAAGTTCTTTGCAGTCTTTTAATATATGATAAATCCCCTGTATAAAACGTATTTTAGTAAGTTTGAAGACTTCGTAATTTGAGTGATTTAGTATTGATTTGTGTAAGCAAGGCAAAGGGGGTGTAATATTTAATAAAAATTTATAAAGAACAATTATTTGCGAAAAAACGGGTAAGTATTTTTATTAAAGATCAACTCCATGTCTTTAATAACAAAGGGATTTAAATACAATTGATATTTAAACTTTCTCCAGGTGAAATAACCAAATATGCTTTGCTTAAATTACAGTTAACTAAAGATACATTATGTACCATTTTCTAAAGTTTGTGACTTTAACTATAAAAACATCAACTCCATGGACATCAACTCCATGGAGTTAAAAGGTATGTCCATGGAGTTGTTTACTTTCTTATTATTGCCCTAAACTCTTAGCTCATATAAGTTAAGGCATTATTAACGATAATTAATAATATAGAGTTAAATTATAATAAATTAAATTTTTCTTTAAAAAAATTCTCTAATAGTATTACGAGCCCTAACCACATAATGTTCGGACACTTCATAATTTATACAGAAATTTTTTTCGTGAATACTATCTCAAAATTATTAGAAGTTATGAAAAATTCAGCTTATTTTGGCATATACCCCTCGAAGCGATTTTTATTTTTAAAAAGTTTACCTTTTATTTTTAGCTTTTAAAAAAAGGCTAACTTTTTAACTTTTTTTTGTATGAGTAAAAAAAGTTATAAATGGACCCATTAAAAAGAGCATAAAATATTATACAAACCCTGAAAATTTGGTAAAAAATAAATAAGTTATAAAAAAGTATAAGTAATTTAAAAATGCTATTTTTAAAGAGTTTTTGCAATTTTCTTAGGAAACGGGAGATTTTGCAGATATATATATCGCTATAACTTTCTTATTATTTATACAATTTTTACCAAATTTTCAGGGTTTGTATAATATTTTATGTTCTTTTTAATGGGCCCATTTATAACTTTTTTTACTCATGCAAAAAAAAGTTAAAAAGTTAGCCTTTTTTTAAAAGCTAAAAATAAAAGGTAAACTTTTTAAAAATAAAAATCGCTTCGAGGGGTATATGCCAAAATAAGCTGAATTTTTCATAACTTCTAATAATTTTGAGATAGTATTCACGAAAAAAATTTCTGTATAAATTATGAAGTGTCCGAACATTATGTGGTTAGGGCTCGTATTATTATAACTATATGTATATTAGGGTGGCCCAAAAAAAAAGAATATTTTTTTTCTTCTCGTCTCTTGTGAAAATATGTTGGTTTGTCATGTTTTAAGAGCCCTGTCAAAAGATCAGCACCATTAAAAAATTTTTAGGGGTCGCTCAAGATTTTAAAAATTACCAAAATCGTCAAAAATTGGATTTTTTTTTATTTTAATTTTTTTTCTCGTTCCGATATTATTTTTTAATTTAAAAATAATAATGATTCTGAAAATTTCAAATCGATATTTTAATTTCTAAAGGTCGCTCAAGATTTTTTTAACTTTCAAAGTAGAGTATTTTGAATGTTTTCGAGCGACCTCTGAATATAAATATCAACGAACTTTTAGCGACCTTTAGAAATCAAAATATTGATTTGAAATTTACAGAATTTGTATTATTTTCAACCTAAAAAATAATATCGAGACGAGAAAAAGAATTAAAATAAAACAAAAATTCAATTTTTGACGATTTTGAAAATTTTTAAAAATCTTGAGCGACCCCTAAAAAATTTTTAATCGAGCTGATATTTTGACAGGGCTTTTAAAACATGACAAACCAACATACAAGAAGAAAAAAAATATTCTTTTTTTTGGGCCACCCTAATGTATATATTAAGTTTAATTTATAGCCGCCTTGAAATTACTTTATGTTAATAAGAAATACACATTGAGGTATTATTTTGCTAGTGTTTTATTAATCTTTGCTTTTTATTTTTTTACCACCCCAATTTATCCCCGTTTTGGATATTCACCCGTATGTTATTTTTCGACATCTAATTAGGTGACATAATATGTCTAAAATGGTCTGTGACCAATGTCAAAAATAAGTTATGGCTGTGAATTTGAAAAATTTGGAATTTTTATACTAATATGCGACTTTTCCCACAATGTTTAAATTTTGATATACATTGCAAACTTGTCCTACGATTTTTTAATTTATGCTTCAGTGTAAATTTTGTTCGAGTATTCTAATACGACGCAGGCATGTGCGTTTTATCTTTCGAAACGCATTTCGAAGAGTTTTCGCTTAAAAAAGTAAAAATATGCTGCCGTTTAGGAGATTATATATTTTAGGTACAGGTACTATGTAGTAAATGTCTAATATATCAATTAAATATATATTTATGATTATATTATCAAAACTTACAAAATGAGATTAAAACTCGATAATGTTTTTATGATCAAATATTAAAACCTGATCGATTCTGATCAAATAAAATTTATTTAATATTTCATCATATTTCAAAAAAACCTGATAATTTAACCTTAACGAAATATGATTGAAACTCGACCATGTTTTTATGATTAAATATGATCAAACAAAATTTGATTGAATATGATTGAGCTTCGATCGTGTTTTCATGTTCCACTTGAAATATGATAAAAAAAGATCTAGTTTCGATCAGTTTCGATATGTTTTAATTACACAAACAAGTACTCTTAATTTTGTCGCGTATTGTCATGGATTCTACTATTTTCAGAGTCACTTGGATCATAGACTCCATGATCATTTCAACGCCGAAATAGTAACGAAAACAATCGAAAACAAACAAGACGCTGTCGACTATTTGACCTGGACATTCTTGTACCGGCGATTGACACAAAATCCAAACTACTATAATCTTCAAGGTGTGTCCCATAGACACTTATCGGACCATCTGTCCGAGTTGGTGGAAAATACTTTATCCGATTTAGAACAATCGAAATGCATCAGCATTGAGGACGATATTGATTGCGTTCCACTTAATCTGGGAATGATCGCTGCCTATTACTACATAAACTACACGACTATAGAGTTGTTCAGTTTATCTTTGAACAATAAGACCAAGATACGCGGTCTTCTGGAAATCATATCATCGGCTGCAGAATACGAAAACATCCCCGTCAGGCATAGAGAGGATAACATTTTAAGACAACTCTCTCAGAAATTACCCAACAAACTGACTTCTCCTTCAGGTGGTCAACCTAAATTTAACGACCCCCACGTCAAAACTAACTTGCTGCTTCAAGCGCATCTCTGTAGGCTTCAGCTTGGAGCTGAGCTTCAGGGAGACACTGAAAATGTTTTGGGTAAAGCAATTCGTCTGATACAGTCTTGTGTTGACGTATTGAGTTCCAATGGTTGGTTATCACCTGCTGTAGCTGCTATGGAGCTCGCTCAGATGGTCACTCAAGCCATGTGGAGTAAGGATTCATACTTAAAACAATTACCCCATTTTAATACTGAAATTATTAAACGGTGTTCGGAAAAGGTAAATAATAAAAACATAATTTTATTGATTATGTTTTAATTTGTGGTTTATTTCAGGGCGTCGAAACAGTGTTTGATATAATGGAATTGGAGGATGAAGCAAGACTAAAACTTCTACAGTTAAGTGACACCCAAATGGCTGATGTAGCCAGATTCTGTAATAGGTATCCAAACATTGAACTAAGTTACGAAGTTTTGGATAAGGATAAAATTCATTCTGGATCTTCCATACATGTTGCAGTACAGTTGGAAAGAGAGGATGAAGCCAGTGGGCCAGTTATTGCGCCATTCTACCCACAAGTAAGATCATTTACTCTAAAATATCTGCTGATTGACTAATTCTCATTTTTTTAGAAACGCGAGGAAGGATGGTGGGTGGTAATAGGAGATCCAAAATCAAATTCGTTGCTTTCAATTAAGAGGCTCACATTACAGCAAAAAGCTCGTGTAAAGTTGGATTTTGTCGCTCCAAGTCCGGGTCATCATGGCTATACTTTGTATTTCATGAGTGACGCGTACTTGGGTTGCGATCAAGAGTACAAGTTTTCTGTTAATGTAGGTGATTTCGAGTCTAGTGCCAGTGATTCAGATTAAATGTTTTGTAATTTAGTAGGTATATAAGTCTACGATAATAAAACAATTTTTTAATAATTAATATTTTATTTATTATAACCTTTTAACTAGAATCTGTTTCAAAAGTGTAGCATATTGGTGGATCCGAAATACTGAAAGGAAACATGGATTATCATTAACCATATTTGAAGAAGGATGTGTCAAAAATGTTTTCTTAGAAAATAATTTTTTGGTAAGTTAATCTATCTGTATATTTAAAAAAATTGAAATTTATTTATGCATTTGTTAATTGTTCTAAGCCAATAAATCCCTAATAACAATATTGTCAACAAAATTATATTTTTATAAATTTTTAAAAGACAAAAACTAAGTAGTTTCAATATATGCAGTGTTAAAAAAATTAAGTACTTTATTTATTTAACACAGAATATATTGAGTTTGCTATATTATGAATATTTAATTTATATTATGAATCATAATTTATGATATGGCCTTAACCAAGGGGTAAAGTAGGTAAACTGTAATTTAAACCTTGTTTATTTAAAATTATAGTTGAAATCTATTTTATTTTAATCTAAAGGTCTTTTAAATAAAAATAGGCAACAAATTGAAAGTTTTTTAAAAACTTACTATTTAATAAATAGTAATTATTAATAATAAATAGTATTTATTCACATGCTTATATTATGTATTTAAGATTTGTTGTTAATTAGATAGGCAACTTAATTTTAAAGTTTTGTTCTGTGACTACTGCGCTCTCCAGCGGGTGTAGTCAAAAATATTTATTTAAATTATTGTTTAACTTTTTTAACTAGATTGTAGGTACTGAACCTTTTTTTACTTCCACTAGATAAATAATTCTAATATTTTTCTAGTCAAAGTAAAAAAAGGAATGATAAAACATAATAAAATTACATTTTTGTAATTATTTTATTTGTCAGTTAAATAAATGCAAATATTCAAAACACAACTTAAAATAACTTTACATCATATGAACTTTTCTAACTATTCCATTCCTAATCTTATTATTTTATTAAAGTAAAATATGTTTGTAAATAAAAGAACAATACAAATGTTAAGACTCGGTGCTTTGAGAACCAAATTTTTTTTTATTTGGGCAAATCCTGGACACACTGATCTTCCCTGCTTTTGCGCTTTGGTACACAACAAGAATAAACCATAATAATGAATACACAACACAAATTTAAAAGGTTATAAAGACTTACTAAATTTAAGTTATTTTTGCCAAGCTCTCTCAGATTATAATATAAAGCTCTTTCATATCTAACTGTTATTATGACACCGGTAGATTTGGTGACGAAATCAACTTTGACGACATTAGCGCCTATGGCAATCATAGTCTAACTTCCCAGCGGACAAGTTTTTGTACACTAAATATGCCTAAACACCACGGATATCCGGCACTGATGAGGTCTAATAAGACCATCGTTATCAGAACCTGTCAAAAAAGTAATAAATTTGTGTGAACTTCTTAACTAGAAAAATTTACAATTTGACAATACTTAATTATTGTTGATAGTGTCATTTTTCAGCTCAGATAAATTGACATAAATTATTACTTTTTTTACAGAATCTGGTAACAAAATCCACAGACTACAATAAGAGTAGTTTTTAAGTTACAAGCTTTTTTATTATTTAAATTTTATGTGTCTGAGGTGTCTTCTTACTTTAAAAAATGGATATGTCTGATGTTGCCAGAGCCATTCATTTAATCCAGGATGGACGGTCACAGTATTACGTGGCAAGTGTTTTGAACGTCACAAGAAACATAGTACAAAGGGCAACATCAGTCGGAGACATTTTTAAAAGTAAGAAGACACCTCAAAATTAACACATTAATTTACAACAATTTGATAGCTTTTGAAAGCCATAGGCTATGGATGGACCATAGCAACCTTAGTTCTTTATACAGGAAAAATATTGGAAATTGCAATGTTTTTTTTTTTAATCCATATTTTCCACAAATATAAATATATCAAGGTGAACCAAAAACAAAACTGTTAAAAATAGATGTGACTTGATAATTAAAACTTAATTTAGAACAATATACGGTTTTGCCACTCTACAGAGTGTCTTAAACTTATGGTAAAAAACATCTTTTTGTTTAAACCTGTATATTATAAACGTACCTACGTATATTTTTTATTAATTTTTAAAATGTGAGCGATTCTCCATTAATGTAGGTATCTACAATATTCTTTAATATTTGTTTAAATCCGAAATCAAATAAAAAAGTTATTTGCGATTGAAATTCATCGAAAATTTGTGTGGATCGATTATTTTGCCTGTGAGTGTATTTTCATAATAACCGCATTTGGGTGTAGAATATTTTATCAATAAAAAAGTACACCAAGTACATGTACAGTGCACTTTTTATTTTTGCAAATAAAAAAATTAGGGATTTTAAAGAAAAATTAATTCTGTTTAAATATCTGATTTACAATGCAAATTTTGCATGCAATTTTGGCACCTTTGGTGTAAAATTATATTTAAAAAAAATTATATGAACTCTTATAAACAATTTTATATGGTTTGATATACTTTTTTATTTGTTCAATTTACCTTGGTGGCCTTCCAAGCAATATTTTATTAAATTTATTGAAACCATAATCATTTTGTGTATTCATTAAAAAGTGGCTTTCGCAAAATTGATGATACCCAGTCTACAGTAAATATTTAAATGATTTATGGGAGATTCTTCTTTTTGATGTATCAAAACCCAATGAATAAATAAATATGTATATATTTCCCTAAAAAGAACTTTTTATATTATTATTATAGTTTAGGTAGGTACTAAATTAATTTATAATTTACTAAATGTTAGGTACTTTTATTTTTGTGGTTAATGTGCATTAATTATATCATGTACAAGTGAATCGGTAAGATTAAGAACAGTACAAGTCCAAATGACACAATTTTGACAAAATATTTAAAAAAATCAGTTTCATAGGTAGTTCTAAATGCATTTTTGCGGGAATATTTTAACTATTTTATAAAATATTTTAACTATTTTATAAAATATAATATATATTCTGTAAAATAATTTATATCTTCTAACAAAAATGTATTTTAAACTTTAAAATTGATTTTAAAAAATGACTTATCTAAATTAAATTTTTGGACTTGTACTGTTCTTATTCTCACCTATTCAAGTATACTTTACTGAAGTATACTTTAATGATTGTATTTATGTTTATTATCTTAATTATCTACTGTATTATGTATTATGGATCTTTTTTGTAAATATTTAGAATAAACATATGTTATGTATAATATTATAATTATTATTTTATATCATTATACAGGGTGAGTTTTTTAAAGGAAATATCTTGAAAACGGTTTAATATTTTTTTGTGAAATTTTAATGAAGTAATGGGGACAAGGGGGGGACATATTTAGACATATTTTTAAAATGTACCCCCGAGCGGTAGCTGTTCACCCGCAAGTCAATACCAGGCGGCTTGCTGGAGATGCTGGTGTAAGTAAAAACTCTGTTCTAAACATATTGGATTTGTACAAATTTCATCCATATCACATGACACTGCGCCAAGAGCTATACGGACAAGATTTTGAAAATCGCGTTGCATTTTGCAATTGGATCACCCGACAAATGCAAGGAAATAACAGATTATTAAAAAATATTATTTTCTCTGATGAAGCTATAGCTTCATCAGAGAAAATATGTATACATTTCATAATTGTGGGCAGGTACAATTTTAAATTAATCTTATCAGTAGAAATTTAATTTCTTTTTTTTGTTTTTGTTTGGTTCTTGTCTTGGTAAATAGACACAATATGCACTATTGGGCTGCGGAAAATCCCCACTGGTTAAGAATTCGGTCAAATCAACACCCATGGTCACTTAATGTCTGGTGTGCAATAATGGATCCTCCATTATGGAGGATAGAGTTATTGGTCCGCATTTCTTTGAAGGGCACTTAAATGAAGAAATGTACACGGATTTTTTAATAAAGCATTAAAAATATGTCTAAATAATATTATGGGGACATTATGTCCCCACGTGTCCCCATTGCTTCATTAAAATTTTACAAAAAAATATTAAACTGTTTTAAAGATATTGCCTTGTAACACTTTTAAAAACTCACCCTGTATAATGATATATATATCATATCATATATATAATAATAATAATAATGTTTATAGGGCAGGACCTAGGTCGATGGCCCTTTGGTTAAACGACTCTTTTTATATATATACATATATTTATTTTATATTTGGTATTTTTATAATTGAATCATTGAGATTAAGAACAGTACAAGTCCAACAATTTAATTTTGACAAGATTTTCTAAAATCATTTTTCAAAATGCATTTTTGTGGGAGGATATAATTGACAGAATATAAAAATTATATTTTATAAAATAGATAAAATGTTCTCACAAAAATGCATTTAGAACTATAAAACCGATTTTTTGAAATATTGTCAAAATTTTAACTTTTAGGCTTGTACTGTTCTTAATCTCACCTATTCAATTGCAGTCCTATAGGACATATATGTTAACTTTGATAGGTACTTTTGAATTTTTTTTGTAAGTTAACTTTTATTTGTCGTGCATAATAATGGTTTATAAAATGTAATTCAAAAGTTTCCAATTTTTTTTAAATTTTTTGTATTATTTTTTTTTTGTTTATTTAAATTTCATTTTATTATTTAAATTCACTAAAATCCTTGTTTTTGGTATCACGGAAATTGTTCTTATTTTATCACAGTTTACATAATCTGACTTGGTGGTATGCACAATGTGGATTGTGGTAGTATGTCAATGTTAAACTCTTGACTCAACTCTTGATTTAAACATTTGATTTTTTTAGTTTATAACAATATTTTACTTACCTTATATTTTTAAAATTGAATGAAAAAAGTCGTTGTAATTTTGTTGTTTATTCTTATAATAAATAAAACGTTAATTTATACATCACATATGGGTTACATTTTTCTGGAATGTATGCTTAAATGTAACAACGTTATTAATAATAACATACTTATGTATATATTTTAAGATTTTAGATATATACAGCAATTTTGAAAATATAATTACTAAATTGATCCATCCATTTAAAAATTGTCACATTAATAATACAGATATGTAAGTCTAATCGTTAGGCCTGAAAACTACTTTTTAACTATAACATCTAATATTTTTATTTTTATAACCAATAACGAATATTAAGTCTTATGTCGATCCAGGAAGACAACAAGGCAAATATGTTAGATAGAAATTTTGAAGAAAATTTCCAATTTTTATCATTATTTTGGGTGTTTGTGTCAGATGGGCAAAACTGTTATTTTTAGAGCATACATTGTTTTGAAGCTTATTGTCTATTAAATACTCAGATACAAGTAGAGAATAAATCACCAAGGGTGATTCTACCTTAATGCTAAAGTGATTGTACCTTTTTATACACGTTTTTTATCATTACAAAGTCTGTAGGTAATTTTCATTTCTAATACCCTTAATAGTGACCAATTTAGCCTACTAGCAATGATTGTTATTTTAGCAATTCTGTGCTTATAACAGATGGAATCCTTATTTATTAGAAGCTGTCTTTCATGCAAAACTGTTATCTAGTACAAATTTATTATATAATAATTTTTTTATTAAAATGGTGTTTACAAGAGCCATAACTTTAAAAACATCATGTGTTTCTACTCTTAATAAAATATTGTAAAACCCAATTAATTGCAACCTCTTGGTCCCTAGACAATTAATTTGGAGCATACTTACCTAATTGAGTATTAAGAGTATATTAGAATAACAATAACTTTAACGTTGCCTCTTTACCAGAAAATCACAGCCTTTATTATAAAATATTTTGTTTTGAGATCTTAACTTATTTCTTGATACTTAATCATTTAGTGATTAAAAGCACAAGTACCTAACTAACTAATAAAAAGTATCTATGTGCTTGTATTGATTTTGAATACTAGTTATTATTTACGTATTTGTTTTTATTAAGACACATTTTACAAGGTTTGACTTGTTATGGCCCTGGTACTACCATTTAATATTTAGTTCATGTCAAAGCAATTTAAAGTTGTGCAATAAAGTAAATAAAGAAATGATTTTTTATGTACAAACTTATTAGTAAAGATACCTACCTTTTTTTCTTATCTTATTTTTGGTTAAAAGGCGCAATATTTACAAATTGATTTGGTGGTGTGTAAAATTATATGAAAAAGAAGTGTAGTAAGTTAGGTGAAAGGAAAATAACAGTTTCGCACACGGTCCCATCTTATGTATGTGTGTGTGTATATGAATATGTATATATTAGTAAGTAAATAGGTAACTACTGCATACACATTCCACAGGCGATTCTCTACCTTTCCTACCACCTGCTAAATAAATAAGTACATAAGGTGAGTTAAGTACATTAAGTACATAAGTCTGTTCTACTGGTTATTATTAGTTGCGCACAGTGAGTAGTTTCGAATCCGCATGTTGGCGGTAAGGCACGGAAACACCTACAGACACAGACCGTGCAGTGTGTGACCAGACTTTTATCACAGAAAGCAGTGATCAGACTAGACTAGACCCTAGACGACTATTTTATGTACTCCTAGAACAATCACGCTAGTCTGGTAAACTGTTCGGCTGAGATGAACAGTTGGTTTAAGCAAATTCAGAATTGACCAAGCAAGTTCTACTTTATGAAACTACTTTATTTATAATAGCTCTACAAGTGCAACTGCGATTTGTTAGGATCGCACTACACTACACACATAGATACATACTACAAACACTAATACTAATAACTATCAAATAATACAGTACTTATTAACTACAGTAACTTTAAATACGTACAACAAACAGCTAATCAAATTTCTATTTAACAAGTAGTACATGTGTACCAAAAGTATTTTGCCTTCAAGTTTGTCATTTAACTAATTAACCCTCTGAAAACTACAGTTATAAGCATTCCTAGGGTTCACCTCTTAATCAGTGAAACTAAAACTTTCATTCATCTTAACATTTATAATTGAATACAAAAATAGAGGGTTCATTCTGTCTCACAACGCTTATTGCTCTCAACTGGATATAATATTACAAACTATTATTGTTGCCGTTAGCATGATTGTTGTTCAATTTTACCTTTACTTAATTTAGGCCAGTAAAAGCGTATATATAAACTGTTAAACTGTTAAACCGGTTAAAATTTAATTTTTTTCAATCAAATTGGCATTAATTTAATGGTATATATTTTGGTTTTCGGATGGCTCCAAACAATCCCTCCGCCGCCATCTTGAAAAAAAAATTGTTTCAATCGCACAAAGGCCAATATTATTTTTTTTAAACACTGTCAATTTTAAGACCAATAATTTTTATAAAACTTATTTTGCTCACTTGTTTTGTTGCATGAGTTAAATTGAAAATTGGTTTTCTCCCTTCTTAACCTTTTTGCGATGTTATTTTAGAAAAATATCTCTTACAATTTTGTAGCTGTCCTATAAAGTGAATATTTAAATTAATTAAATTGGTCCAGTAATAGTTAACAGTTAATAGACATATTTTTAAATAACTTCAACATATTTTTAAATAACTTTAATTTGTTACCAAAATATTATAAGGCTGAACATGTTATTTTTAAAGAAACGTTGAAATGTTGTACTCCAGCCTACACTGCACAAATTTACTTAGTTAATGTTAATTTTATAGGAAAATTCAAAAACTACAAAATTTTAAGAGAAATGCGGGTAAAAAAGGAGAAAACAGTTTTCCAAAACAATGTTTTTTAAATATATTGAAGCATCAGCGCCTCAGAGAGACAAATAAATGGCGTCGCGGGGGTTCGGATTAATCCGAAAACCAGGATTCATTCAATATATGCTCTTTTGATAAAAAAAAAATAAAATTATAACTGTTATAAAAGTATTGGGTTTCCTATATAAAATCTTACATTTTTACTGATACTTAATTGTAAAATTAAAACTGCCTATGATATTTTAAATTCTAGCGAGTATATTTCAGATTAAAATGGTTCAATTGACCAACAACACAGCCAGGTACAGACACTATGGCCACCCAACAACTATCACAAGGCTGAGCCAATGTCTGTCCTTTTAACGACCTTACTGCTAAAGCATATAATATAAAACATCAGTATTATTCATTCATTTTTATAATACGAATGAGCGACACGAAACCAAGAGCATCTCAGTCACGGGTTGATTTTCATATTTATAATAAATACAGAATTGAATCGATTAATATATTGAACAAAACTTAACTAGAAAGAAGGGAGGCCATCTTCCACATCTTAGGTAAATATGAGGGAATAACGTGCTCTTAATTTCGCTGCACCGTGGCTTATTGCCAGGCAACAGACGCATTGGTCCGCAAATCACATATATGAAAGAAACGAAAACATACGTACTTACATAATATGTAAGTTTACAGAACTACACTAAGGAATGTGGGCAGGTCTGTCTAAGTAAAGGATGATAAGAGAATAAGGCCGATACTGCCTCTTTTGACTAGATCTGCAGATTAAGTAGTAAACAAAATTAAAACTAGCCGACAAACGGCAAGCTATGGCGGAGGTGCACTAATAATAAAATATAAATATTACAAATTAAAATTAAATAATACCCTAATTGCTATTCCATGAGATCTATTATTAATAAAAATCATTAAATAATGGCAAGTAATCGTCAAACTGCCAATCAGTCAATGTAATAAATAAATACTACGAGAAAATTTAAGTACACTCAGCACAACCTTTTTGTTCTTTTTTTATAAATAAGTAATCTTATTGCCTTTTAGGAGAATATATGGAAATTTAAACGATATTCAATTCGTTTTAGTAATACTGATTATTGCGAGTTATTGCTAGAAATACTAAATTGAGCAGAAGGCGGCATCGGTCATTTTTTCAACAACAAAGTTAATGTGATGAGAGTATATGTATACCTATTACAAGGGAAATTGGAAACATGACAGTAGTCTACACACAGCAAGTTTAAATGTAATAGGCAAAAGACGCCGCCATTGACATTGGAAATGTTATTTGGAAGTCCACTGGGTAATTTGGCCCATTTCGCATTACAAGTAATAATATGAGCAAATTGTAGTTTGTTCAGACATACATGCCGACTCCATACATTGATCCCCAATCGACGCCTTGGAAACTGGACATGTCCACATTTGTCAGATTGTAGCCCTGATACGGACTGGCGGCCATTTGCTGCGTCAATGCAGGATTACCTTGGGCAGGTGCTTGGTTGGGGGCGCCGCCGGCGGCCCCTGGGCCCACGCTCGCTCCCATATTCGCTGCAGGCATGGGATACGGCGAGTATCTGTAGCTCGCCAACGGCGGGTACGCTCCAAACAACTTTCCGTAACCGGCGACGGCCGCATTCTGAGCCTGTGCTGCCGCGGCGGCTGCCGCAGCGGCCTGCACATGAGCCTGAGCCTGCGCTACCGCCAAAGGATTCGCAGCTGCCATCGCTCCGGCTGAAGGTGCTGCCATCCTCATCCCCAAACTGCTCAGCATAATACGCTTGCCGAGCAACTGAGCGCTGGCTTGCACTGCTTCTTTGGGCTGTGCCTTCTTGCATTCCACCTTCTTATTCTTAATCGTGTGGAAGTGGATCTCGCAAACGCGGTCCACCACGTCTTCGTTCTCGAACGTGACGAATCCAAAACCACGGTGGCGCTTCGTCTGTTGATCCATCAACATCACAGTCTCCTCGACCTTCCCAAACTGGCTGAAGTACGCCTTCACTTCCTCGGCGGATGTGTCCTGGCTCACTCCTCCCACGAATATTTTCTTTGTCTTGTTCGGCTGTTTTGGTCTGTTCTTCGGAGTTGCGTGTTTAGGATCTATTTTCTTTCCGTCCAATGTGTGAATCGGAACTTTCAACACATTATCTACGCTCGATGGCTCAGAAAATGTGATAAACCCAAAGCCTCTGCTTCTCTGTAATAAAAAACACACATTGTATTTCCTGTTAAATATTGTAAATAGGTAAATAAGTATGTTACTTGAACTTTAACAACATGCCATCAAAAAAGCAAACATGGTTTCCCAGATATAAAAATAATGTTTAAAGTTAACTTTTACAGTTAATTCATGGTGTTTTTTTAATTTTGATAAGAAAAATACAAAAATATTAAAATGTGCCGAGTAAATTAAACTTTTAAATAAAAAAGCGTTATTAATTAAGAAAAATGGTTAGGCGTATTATATAGTTTTTCGTTTATCAGTTTTACAGTTAATTCATGGTGTTTTTTTTAATTTTGATAAGAAAAATACAAAAATATTAAAATGTGTCGACTTAATTAAACTTTTAAATAAAAAAGCGTTATTAATTAAGAAAAATGGTCTATAACAATATGTTTAAACACGATTTTAGGCGTATTATATAGTTTTTCGTTTATCAGCATACACCAAAGACTTGGCCAAGGCACTGGTCCATCTCGCGATATAATGTTGTCGTTGAATCGATTATTCAACAAGTCAAGTATGACACTTAGCCACATATTGTTACTGTCGTTCAAATTATCCAACTATTGATAATTACTCCATCCAGTGGCGTAACAAGACAAAGTGGGGTCCTGGTTTTAAATCTTAGATCCGGCCCCCCTCTCATCTCTATAATATACATATAAATGAAAAAAAATGTAGGATTTATCATAAATCGCGACAGGAATGATTTCCTGGAGGTATGGACCTACCAGTAATACACCAATTATATTTTTAATGCAAAATGGACCTAAAACAATTCTACCACCACCAAAAACTTAGTTTAGTTATAAAAAAATTGTAATTGTATATTAGGGTGAATCAAAAAATCCGACACTGAAAAATTGGTTCTTAGGCATTTCTAGAAAGTGCTCACCAAATTTCAAAATAAAATTAAATATATTATTTTTTTAATAAATAAAACCTTTGGTTAGAGTAATCGCTTAAACACTAGTTTTTTTGTAGGGCATTCAATTTCCTACAAAAATATGTATAAAGATTTGATTAAACGATTGATTAATAATGAAATATGGTCTTTTTTATAAGGGACTAAAATAATGGAAAACTGTGATGAGGAGGATCTTCCTATTAATATTAAGAGCTCAAATTTTTTGGTGGGTACCGTTGATAAAAGACCACACCAAAGAGTGCACTTCTGTAGCTTTGCATCATGCCAATACGATTAGCGAGCTGAGTGTTTATTATATGGACCATTAAAATCACGTAATCCACGTCTGACATATGTGACAGACAGTGCTACTTCCTGAGGGGCCACGTCTGTCATATATGCAAGACACAATATTCACTACCAGGCCGCGTCTTGCAGATATGCTAGATGCTACACGCTTTATCTTATGGGTTATTAATTTGTGGCCTGCCACGAACATTTTGGTATATTTGGTTCAAGCAAATTCGGAAAATTACTATTTTTTTTCGACGATTTATAAGATTTAGCAATAATCGCTCATGGCTCCCCAGGATACTTTCCAAATATATACGTGGCACGCAATGTGTTAAGCGTTTCGCGATTTGGAGACCAATTTTCCTACGAAAGCACTTTTCTAGTGTAATTCTATTCATGATTTGACAAACATTGAACAAAAATATTAAAAAATATTTTTAAAAGTTTTGCCACACATTGAGCAAAAATATAGGTAAACAAATATTTTAAAAAATGACGTCACAGTTTATTAGTTATTAGTTATTAAAATTTGTATAATTGGAGCTCAGTTGCAATTGCTATAACAATAGTACTACAAACGTTTGAATCAGGGATTAACCTCAGCATCTTTGATGGCATATTACCACAGGTTATAGTACTAAAAAACCCTAACACCATGTAAAATAAAACGCCCTTATCAGTCCAAGACTGAGTAAAAAACCTGTTTTTTAAATCTCAGTTAATTTTTTTCTGCACTTTCCTTTCAGATATAAAAAAATATTGTGACTCACAGATTTTGGTTGGGTGACGGTTAAAAAGGTGATTGTTACCTGTGTGACGGGGTCCTTCATGATGAGCACATCGGTGACGTTTCCGAACATGCCGAAATATTCTTTGAGCTTCTCGCTTGAGGTCTGCCAACTGAGCCCGCCAACGAACAGTTTTCCCGGAGCGGGATCATTTGTATTGTTGGGTGTGCTTCGACCTGAAGAACTCGAGTGACTCCCATTCATTTGAATCAAATTTCCGTGGATATCATGATCAATAATTCCGTTGCCTTCGCCCATTGCCGAACTAAAACCAAAGTAAACGCAATTAAGTCAACGTACACAAAAATAACAATTTACAAAGTGATTCATTTACTGCACTTCAATTATTCATTACATCGAGTTATTTATGTTCTTTCATATTAAATTTATAATCAAACTTACACGTACAAGGTCATTGATATTTCTACCACTTTAACGATTGATGATACTAGAATGTTAAACTAAGTTAACAATATTTTTAAATTTGTCCACTCTTTACGAAAGATAAGACTAGAATGTTAATCCTAGTTAACAAAATGTTTATTTATACAAAAAAGCATTCTTAATTATACCTGAAAAATTTAAATGTTCCCTTAATATCTAAATCTTAATCCCTTGCGTTGATCCTATGTTATGATTACAAATGCAGCACACTGCAGTGCTAAAATCGTTGAATTTGTTACGTTACAATCGCGTTTGTTAAAACCTTATATTCCATATAAAATATATAATTTTAGTCATATATAAAAAAATATAGTCTTAAATGTAAAATTCTTAAATTTTATTATTATACCTTTTATTGAACTAAATGCACCTGCCTTAATATAAAGAGGTATACTTCTGTATAAATTTAATTATTCATACTCTAGAAAATCCGTAGATAAGGTAATAGATTAAATTATTTTAAAAGAAAGGTATATTTTACAAACCAAGCAAACTAATTAATGTGAACATGTAATATTTTGTCAAAAAAGTATGTTAATGGCCACAATATATTACGTTGAACATTCGTAACATTTATGGTTTTGTATCTCTCCTTTGCACCATTCCGTCCAGAGTTTTATTTTATTAAGTAAATTAAAATTTCACCTGCGATTTGTTTTTATAAATTACTTTTGCTACAAAGAGTACAATGGGGGACACGGAATTTCAAACGACTTATAATTCCCTTGACATTAAAATCTAAACTGGGTTTATGGACAACTAACCCTACTTACGGTTATCACTATTGTCATTTTGACAGCAAAAGCAAAAAATGGTTATTATTGTAACTTTGCTATTTACAGAATGTTAATATCTGAACTAATATTGATTTTGTACATAAATTAAACGTGGGTATGTATTTTCAAATGCCAAATGCATAGATAATGGGTTTATAAATTAATAATGTCAGATTTTAATGTAGTTTAACTTTACATAAAACAAAACATTGCATTCTAATTTGTAATAAAATTCACGCATCGCTTCCAACTTAAACGTATACATTTTAATATGTTTAGTGCAATGCCTGCCTATCAGCTAATTGTGTATAAATTTGTCTTTGTATAGCGACGGCCCGTCGACAATTTACGTCTGGCCGTAACGTATTTTTTCTACTCCCACCTTTAAAACGCCCTTTATCGTACATGTTTCCATGACACTAAGTGACCTTTTAAATACACATTGATAAGTTGTGGCTTTATGGCGCTTTAGTCACGGGCTGAAGTTAGTTTTAAGTTAGTTGACAGTTGTCAAATGTCATACAATCGTTAAAATAAATTGCCTTTCTTGTAAAATAATACTAAATTTGAAAATTATTTTATTATCCAAATACAAAAATACAAAAGTATTAAATAGATTCTCAACGCCAATATTTGAAAAGTTTATATGAACATTGTACTGACCTTTTAATTTCGCCTGCAGTAAACTATAACATAAATTCGTGCACGGACTCCACTGTAAAGTGCTCATAAAACATTTTCTTTACTTTCACTGTGAAAAACTGTCGATATTCAAGAAATACATTTCGATTTATAACCTTTATAATTCTGTTTATAAAATGTAAAAATTTGACATTTGACGGTGACACACAGATTCCCCTATTCCTTCATAGATGGCGCTTTATACAAATTTTTGATTTAAATCATTTTAAGATAATAATAAGTATTTGTCGTAGAAAAAGTATAGTATGCACCTCGTTTAAAAACAGGTGTTTGAATATTTTCTTTATTTTTTAATGGACGTTATTTAGGTATTTTATGTTAAACGGTTTAATCGACTCAATAAAAAACATACTCATAACAAAAATAATAAAAAGTTATAAAATATAAAAAAGAACAAAAATCATCTTAAACCACACAGAGGAAATACAAATGGTTTAGGGACATTCAGGACTGTTTTTCCAAATAATTCCATAATTTTTGTCATCGAAAGATGAATAATAAAATGCCCGCTGCCAAAATTTCAATTTTATCAAAGTTTTTGAGAAATACCTACATTTTGAGAAATACCTACATTGTTTAAATTTGCTTTTAAGTATTAGTATATTATTATACAAGAGATAATGCGCATAATCTCGAGTGTAATATCTACTCCAATAAGTAGATAATTTATTGATTTTAAAAATTTAATAAATAAAATCTGACATCTGTCAAATGGTAAACCTTACTTTTTACCAATTTTAAATGTTATTATATTTGCCTTCTTTCAATTTAAAACCCGATTGGTTCAAATCACAGTGAATATTGAAATCGGCCAATCACTAATGAATAATGAGTTTATTATTCACGTTGTTAGGCAGGGAATTTATAATGTTTGTCAATATTCACGAAAAAAACACAAAATTATGCCATAGGAGTAGTACTTAAACATTTTTATCAATATTTAACCAAATAAGAGGTACAAAAATTGTTCAAAAATGTAAAAATAACATAACAATTGTATTACTAATTTGGTAATATTTCTATAGAAGCTACAGTACGAAAATATTTACCCATAAATTCCCATGTTTGTATACATTGTATTACATTAGCGATCTAGCATTTTCAAGAATTTTGAAGATAATTTTTGAGTATTTTAAAGTGCGTGCAAATTCATTTGAAGCTTCGCCAAGAACTTTTGAAAATGTTCCCTCATGTACAGTTACGGAAAGAAGTAATGTCCATTTGAATGCTCCATTGTAATTGTTCGGAGACATTCGGAAACATCTGCCTCTTAGGGATTTACTACCTGCTCGTATTGAATTAATTATTTTGGGTATTTTACATATTTAACGTATTTTTATTAAATCGTTAATTTTTTGATATATTTTTGTATAGTTTTATAAACATTTATTCTTATTTTTTCATATTAATATTTTAAATTTTTTATATTAATATTTTAAATGTAGGACAAATTTTTAAATATTTGATAAAAAATATCGAATATTTATTTTTAAAGCACCTCAAAAATATTGTTCAGAATCTCAAAAAAATGGTCCTGTTAAAATTTAAGCTCTTAATATTACATTTACGGGTCCTTCATCGGGAATTTTTATTTCCCATTAAAATAATATGAGATTTTTTTAAAATACTTTAAAATAATTTAACTCGGATTAGTAAAACTGAAACAAATTTTGGTAGGGCTCTTTTAAAAGATATTCAAGGTAAAAGTTGAATTTATAGAAATTTTCAAGATTTTCAAACTTTTTCAGCGAAACAAAATTTGTGGTAAAATTTAGTAGGACCCTTTTTTAGGAAAATATTATCTAAAACCATGAGCAAAGAAAGCTGCCTTTTTATTTAAAAAGAAATGGTAAATAATTACATTAATAATTGAGGAGAATCCGTGCAAAACCGGCTATATCCACTTTAATAAAATGTTGGGGGAAATGGCAAAAACTCTCGGTTTCCTGGCCTTTACAGATAAAAGAAAAAGCAAACTTGAGTTTTGTGGGCTTTGTGGTACTTTCGTTTTCAAAAACTTTATATTAAGGCCAAAATTTCAAAAAATGTTTTGTATATAGCCGGTTTTGCTCAAAAACCGAATAAAAAACGAATAAAATGTGAAAAAAAAACCTTTATTATTCAAAAATATTAACAAAATAAATTTAGTGCAAACTTTAAAAAACAGAACAAATTTTATTATTAGTGGCTTGGATATCCACATGCTCATCATCATTATTATTTATTGGATATAGCCGGGTTTGCTATAAAAGCGTGGATTTGGCCAGTTTTGCTCCTAAAGCTACCTTTTAAATGTGATTTTAACATGGATATAGTCGGATTTAAACAGAATTATCTTGGTTGTCGATAGAAATGAACCCAAAGATGCGAAATAAAAAAAAAACAAAAACTGAATAAAATGGATTTAGCCGGTTTTGCACGGATGCTCCTCAATTATAGTTGAAGCATGGAATTCCCAAAGGGTTTGGACCAAATTTGGTTAAATATTATATTATAATTTAAAAATAGTCTATGTGCCATGCAAAACGACTAAAAAAATGTTCTCCATATTATTTTTGTATTTTAAAGATGGATGGATTTTCATTGATTTCTCACAATTTTATTTTTGACACTTAGAACCTTTGGGAATACCAAGTTAAATTATTATAATAATTATAAATTTATGCCGTTTCCATATTTTATTGGAATTTTATACATTGAAATAAGTTGGTATTGGGCAGATATTTCATAAAACAAGTAATGAAAACTAAAATGTTGATGATAGTATATTATTATTTATTATACGAGAGATAATGCAGGCTATTATTCAAAAGGATAAGGTTTGCATGTCGAGCCGTCAGGCGAGATACGTAATTCATCCGAGTAAATAATGCGCATTATTTCGAGTGTAATACTATGTTTTTCTACTCCAATTAAGTATTTTGATTGATAACAAAATTTATTATAACATCACTTTTCTCCTATTTTAAAGATCCTTATAGTCGTCCCTCACTTTTTTCTAATTTAAAACCCGATTGGTTCAAATAACAGTGAATATTAAAATAAGCCAATCACTGATACCTAACAACGTAAATATAATAATAATATAATATAATTCACTTTGATAGGCCGGGCGGTTATATTGGTTACAATTATTTACGCAAAAAAAAAACAAAAAATTTCAATAATATGCAATAGAAGTAGAAAAACGTATTAATAGTGCACAAAATGCATTTTAGTTTAATTTATAATTATTTTAGTATTAAATGTCTATATTTCATTTAAATATATTATTTTATTAATAACAACTTATTAAATAATATATAGTTTATTTAATAAGTAATAGAACATATATTTTATTTAA